TGGCCAGGTCGCTTTTGAAAAAAAGAGTTATAGCTCAGTGGGCCTCCTTATCTGGTAAAATGTAAGTTAAGTTTTAGTTTAGTGTAGTATATCAGAACTCGTTGTGACCCTCCCCCACTTACACCAACCTGCACTGACACGTGGGTGAAGTATATTCTTGGTTCTTTCGGTAAAGTCACGTAGAAGGGAAATAACTAAATAATAAAAAATAAAACATCATACAATTCTCACGACGTTTCGGCCACAACGCAAGCAGCCGTCCTCAGGTGAAGAACATGGCTGTCTTTTGTTATTTCCCTTCTACGTGACTTTACCGAAAGAACCAAGAATATGAATCCCTGCAGTCACGAAAGCTTTAAATCGGGTGAAGTATAGTCAAACAACACAGATTTTTACAAGACCTGCCATGACCTTTGAAAGCCTAGGCCACCATTGGCTATCGGTTAGCGATAAACTCGCAGTGTTTTCATTCGATATTGGTTGGTAAAGCGCGATTACATGTATGTGATGAAATGCCAGTGGCTCGCCTGATGTAAATCTACACCCCGTGTTTATGTGGTGTTGCGACACCACTTTCTCAGTCTGCGCAGTTTGGAGTTGCGTTTCAGGCCTGGTACATTCTTGGGGTGCAACGATGCATCGATTCGTCGATTACATCCATTTCTGAAGACTCAAGGAACAACATATGCCAACGAGCATATGAACCGCATGCTAGTTCAATGTTTCGGCGAAACGGTGCAAAAAAATCTGTACATACGAGACAGGAAAACAAAACCCGAGGAACAATACAAACGAGATGATAAAAACGAGAGAAATAAAAGAAAATATTCTTGAAATGCGTCTCCATCACCGAATCTCAACAGTTAATCGAATTGTGTCAGCTTGTTGTTTCCTCCCCCATCCGCACCTCCAATTAGCACGGTTGGCGACATCCAATGCGAAAGAAGTTTCAACATACATATAAAGGGGTTAAATCTAACACCACCAGTAGTATAGTATATTGTACCCAGGGGGCTGTGTTGAACAGTGGTGGTGCGGTTTGTTTCAACATGGACTGGCAGCCCAGCCAAAGTGTTCCCAGCAATTGCCAGGTTGGCTTTGTAGGTAGTGGCTTTGAGCTCAAATGCAAGTGGGACTGACGGCTCCGGTTATGATTAAACGTGCCGCATGTATGTTGAACTTCTTTCGCGCCGTACGTAGCCAGCGGTGCTAATCGGAGGTGCGTGATTATGACATTGAGACCCTATCTCCCCTACCAAATATTCGGAATCAGAATCTTGATTTACACAGGAAGAATCCGAGGAGTCGTGAAACTATTTTTCACACATGTCCAGTATGGGCAGGGTCAGCAAGTTCCAGCAGCAAACAGAACACACACAACGATAGGGAGTGCAGTAATTAAATAGAAATAAATAATGCGTGCATTAATTATATAGGTCCGATTTATCAAGCTTCGGCAAGGCAGCAAACTAAACAGTCCCAGGCCACAGCATGATAACACCACGCAGCCGTAGTTCCAAATACAATGGCAGCATTGACATTGAACTATCGATGCTGCGTAGGTAATGATCAATGTTACAAATGACATTTGCAAATGTGTGACCGCTGCCATGTCCAGCACTAAATCTTCTGGTTAATAATTTAATCAAGTAATGAATTTCATCCTTGCACCCCAGTTAGTCCATGCACAGCAAGCAAGTGCAAGCAAGCGGATTTGGCAGTGGCACAAATTTTGGATGGACATTTCAGACCACTGTGAAGATGCGGGTAATCATGACTATGGGGCCGTCCATAAATGACGTCACGCACCTAGGGGGGGGATCATACATTTGTGACGATGCGTGATGAGGGGGGGGGGGTTGAGAAATGTGACGTCACATCAAAATTCGCAACTTTAAATAAATATAGACAACACGTTCTACTTAATTAAATATACTTTTTAATAAATGTTTTCTCCTACAACAACAGAGTGCAGCGCCACATTAAATATGCACTACAATGACAATAGTTTAAAGCGATTTGAAGCACGTTTTATTTTTGGGGGGGGGGGGGGGGCAGAGCTTTGTGACGTCATATTTGAGGGGGGGGGTCTGACTTTTTGTGACGCCGTGTGACGAGGGGGGGAGGGGGGTCAAAAATCGTCCAAAAATCACGTGACGTCATTTATGGACGCCCCCTAAAATCGTTAAGCGGATTTTTTTTTTACTTTTGCAACAAAAAATGTGAACTTCAGGGGGGATGGGTGGATGGGGGGTGTAACTCGAAAATAAATCACGTGTCCACCCTTTTCGACAAAGGTCAGATAATCTCACAAGATGCTGCGGTGGTATCGGATGTCGTTGGACAAGGTTGGACAATTGGTGCATTATTCAGTTTTGAGTGTAAAAACATTTGACTTATTATTCCATCAACGATCCGTACTTTTAAAAAAAACTCTGACCCCCTCCCCTCCCTCCCCTCCTCCCACCGTGTGTATCGTGAGGACGATTTTGAAATGTTTGACTGTGAGCTTGCCTATAATTTGTGAAAAGGCCCCCATGGAATGAGACGGTGACGCAAGCAGCCACATGCCAGCGTCGTCCACTACACTCGACATGCACACACCAAGACAAAGGTCCCCCGTGTAGCCTGCACAGACTGTTGGGGCAAGTGCTGTTAGCGAGTGGCACCTGTGAAGGCCGGCACGGCACACGAGGTGGTGGGTGGCCAACACCACGCCCGGTCGCCTTTGTCTCCCCGGTGCTGATGTTTACTCTCATTTGAGGCTGAGTCGACCTAGGAGATGCCTAGGACCGGTTCAGATAATCGCCACTGGGTGTTGGCCGTGAGCGGGAATCGAACTCGGGTCGCCAGGTTCGTAGCGCAGCGTAGCGCTAACCGCTACACCACCGCTCCCCACTCACGCACACTCACCCACGCTCACTCACCCACGCACACTCACCCACCCACTCACCCACAACCTTAAACGCACATACACACACACACGTACACACACGTGTACACGCACACACACTAAGTGGCGGTGACGTCACCACGACGCTTGTGCCAAGCCATGTGCACATTGAGGCCACGTGAAGTGTCGAACGCCCGCTGGCAGGAGGTCACGGGGCACTGCTGGGTCTGCCCCGGGGGCAGACCCAGCAGGTGCCACGGGTCGACTGACCGAGATGACCGGCTGATGCACCACCTGTGCCCCCTACTGTGCCAACTTGCTGTGCTTTATCCACCCGGCGCTCCGCTAGTTGTTGAGAGCGTCGCTCCTCCGCCCTACGTTGTTGCTGGAGGGCGACTGCCTCCAACTGCCCAGTAGCGTCCTTCACGAGCCTCCTACACACACACAGACACACAGAGACACAGAGACACACACGTGTACACGCACACATACACACACGTGTACACGCACGCACACAGTAGGTGCTGGCTCTGTGCAGGAAGGCTGTGAAATGAAATTGCCAAGGCACGACGGTAACACGCGCTTGCCAGATACAGCACTCCCCGCTTACACCGTTGCCGGTTGGGGGGCATTTTTAGCATTCCAGCATTTCTGTGTTACACAAAATGCAATTATTAATTCACCGAAGTGTAATATTGCACGGGGAAGGGGGTGGGGGCCTTGGCGGTGTTTGTTGATACCAGGATGTGTGGGTAATTTACAGGCCAGGATTAATGGGCTGCTCCTACTGGGTTTTGTGGCCCCTGGCTTTATTCTGCTGAAGTGACCTTGGTGATGGTGGTGGTGGTTATTATTAAGCAGACACACCACGGAGTTTCTCTGATTTAAAACAAAAAATTAAAACAGGCCTCCGTTGTTTCGCCCTTGGTGTGTCTTTGCCGAGTGGTCGTTCAATTTGGCGTATTGTTTTTGAATTGCTCTGCTACAGCTCACTATTATTGTTGTGATAATTGTTGTTGTTGTGTGTTGAATGTTTTGTGTTTGGTGATATGCCAGTAGTGAGTTTGATATGTTCTTGATTTAGAATCTCGATTTAAAAAAAAAAGAACGGTTACGTGCCCTAGTATGCATGTGCGCGAAATTGTAAACAACACAGCTTTCTTTACGTAAACAAACACGCGTTTGTATGTGTGTGTGCGTGGTGAATGAAACCTTACTGTGCTCGATTAGCAATGTTTTTTTTTCTCCTTTTGTTGGAGAGTCGGAGATATTTTTTGCGATAAACACCCAATTTTTTACATTGACTATGAACGGGTTTTTCGATTGGGTTGCAATGCGATTAGACTTTAATCTGCCACTAATGGAAGGGCACACTTCTTATCGGAGGGAGCACCGTCTTGAGTTTATCTGGTAGACCGAATTGTCCGCTGTGCGTTCTACGGGCAGCTTTATCTCTACTGTCCAAGACTGAATTCCAGCATCATCATAATAAAAGAAATGGGCCATTGAGGTTTGTGTGGTGTGTTGGGGGGGCGGGGTGATTGCATTCGGTGACAATGTGTGAGCCATAGCAGGCTGTAAGTTTAATGACGTCAAGCCCCCAAACAGCAGCACCCCACCACCTCAGTGCTTGCGTACGCACGTGCGTAGGTTCGTATGGGCGGTAAAGACATAAAGATAACGAGACCTGTCAGTGTTACTGGAACACAAATTAACCTGTAAAAACTAAGTTTTTCACTCTAAATCCTTTATATGCGTGGCATCGGTTTTATTTTATTATTCATTTCTGTTTTTCTTGAGTAAGAGTTTCATTTTTATCACGTTGGTATTTTAAATTGAATATGAAAAAAATGTTTCCTAAAAAGTGGAAAATTTTGGAAAAATTTTTTCACGAAAATAAATTGTCACGCACAACGAGTCTGTGTGCAAAATGTCAGCTCGATTGGATCACGGGAAGTGGGTTAAAAAACGACCGAAAGATTTGCACGGTCGTAAGCGCGCAAGCAAGCAAGCAAGTGAACTTAATATAAAGGATTTAAAAAATAAAAAATAAACTCGCCTCTTGGTGCCCCCTTGTTTGCGCATCTCTCTGCCCTTGCTTCGCCAGGTCGCGATCAAGATCATCGACAAATCTCACCTGGACGAGGGCAATCTCAAAAAGGTGTACCGAGAGGTGGAAATCATGAAGCTGCTCACGCATCCGCACATCATCAAGCTCTACCAGGTGAGGATGCGGAGGAAAACAAAAGGGGGTTTAGCTTTTTTGGGTGGGGAGGGAGGACGAATTGGATGTGTCTGAGGCTTCGGGGACTCCTGGCAGGAGGTGGGGAGGCGGGGGAGGGGTGAAAGGAAGGAGATGGTGATGGGGAAGGAGGGTAGTGGTGGTGGTGGTGGGGGTTGTGATGGTTACCCTGACAACCGTTGCTAAGGAAACAGTTTCAGTTCCACCCCCAAATGCGTCATTATTGTACTAAGTGGCAGGGTTTTTTTATTCTCTTGCTTCCCTGTTTCACTTCACGAGGGACGGGAGGGTTGTGAGAATTCTCCGAGCCGTGCACTTTCTGCAGCTGACAAAAACTGGGGTTTCGCTGGTGCGAGTTACCCGCAAACACGGGCGCGCACCGGATTATACCCGCCGGAAAAGTTCGCTCGTTCCAAAAGCGTAAACATTCTATTTAACGTTTACCCAAAAAAAAAAAATCGAAACGAAAAGAATCCACCCTTTGTGAGTGGCTTTTCGGCGCAACGCGAGAGGGCCGGGCGAGCGCGTGCGTGTGTCTGCGTTATGTTTTCGGGTGGAAGTTGTCCGTTTTATTTTATTTTTTTGCAACAAAAATAATTGGCTTCCAGCGATGGTCGACAAGCATTTTTTTTTCTGGCCACAGCTTCACGTGCCCCTTGTCGAAATTTGCAATTGCTAGAATCGTTATCGGCGGCTGCATTGTCACTGTTTGTACTCGAGTCGATTTTTATAATTCCACCCCAAAAAAAAAAAAACATTTTCAGAAAATGTAATTTTGCAGTCTGCCACAGAAATTTTCTTTTGGTATTGTAAGAACAAAACAATTATTTTGTAATAAATCGTTTTTATTGATCACAATTTATGGTATTATATCAGTTAAGTTGGCAAATGATGGTGATAAATATTCCTCAACCTATAAACTTTGAACATGAAAAAGTATTTCAACAGTCATCATTATTTCTGTGCGTTTGCAATCGTACCTCCCTAAAAACACACAAATAAATTAGGCTTAACGATCAGGACCTGAGCACCATTCCAACGAGACTTTTCACATGACAACTATCAATTTATAGCCAGCGTTTTGCTGTGCACGGAGGTTTGCAAATACTGCCCTTAGTGCGACATTGCAGTACTATCAGCGAGCACTTGACAAGACAAATCCTTAAGTGCATTTGCTACGAACACTTTTTAATTGTGCCGTTTTGAATTGTTTGCCGACACCTAAGTGGTGGCAACGACTTGCGGGAGGCTTTCATCCAGCAGTGGATGGATCGTGGTCGTCGACGACGACGATGATGTTGACGAAATAAGTTGCATCGTTCTCCTTTCCGTCGTTTTTTTTCTCTCATTCATTTTGAAACTTGCGGCGGTTTAACAAAAAAAAAAGAGTAAAATTTTTTTCTTTCTACGGACCGTAAACGGAACACCTAAATGGGTATTATTTTGGTCGAAACGAGTTCCTAAGTGAATGCCGGAGTGGCTCCCCAAAGGGGGAGCATGCGGTGAGGGTGGCAGTCAGTGAGGGCAGCAGAGCCGGGCCTGTGTTCTTTAGCCGTCGAATTATTTACTGGGTGTCGGCCCATTGGCTTAGTGTCGTAACCTGATCGTTGCCCAGTTTGACGTCAATGTCTTCGGGATTCTCATAAATAAACAAACAGATTTGGCAAAGCCAAGCGTGGCTGAGAATGTGAGTTGGGTGGGTGGCTGGGGGGGGTGCGGCGTGCGGTTTAAGGTGGGGGCTCGAGGGGAGATTGGGCCTGTGGGCTTTGGGGAGTGATGGTGGAGGGGGTGTGTGAGACTGCACTGCCACCCAGACACTCTGGGGGCTTGGTGAGATCTGGTTGGGGCGGGGGGGGGTTAGAAAAAGAGATTGCAAAACGTGAGGCAGATAAGAATGGCTGACTACACCACCACCGTGCTTGAATGTTCTAAGAAGAACAAAACATTTACAGAGAACAATAATCAAGAATGATAATCGCAGCGTTTTCGCAGTCTTCATTCCTTCGTTAGCTGCAAGCTTGAACAAAAAAAAAAGGAATTACAATTGATGCTCTGTCAGCTTTACGAGCGCTGCGATGCCATTTTGCAGCGAGCAAAGTGTGCCACACGCGGACAGTTGTGCCACATGCCGGGCGCATTGGCCTGCGAGGGTGCGTGCTTGCAAGATGTCAGCGGCGCGGCTATCGAGTGTGCAGGCGGTGCAATTGCACCCAACCCACGGGACGGAGGAACCCAGGCCAGAGGTCGCAACCGGGTACCCGATACCCGTACCCTACCCGATACCCAGCTACCCGTACCCGGCTGGGTACGGGTATGGGTACGGGTAAGGAATCAAAACCCGTTTGCGACCTCTGACCCAGGCGCTGCATGGGCACCAGGGGGCCCATGCCAACCTCAGCGAGATGCACACAGTCTATACAGCTAAAGTGAGAACGCTGTCGTTCTGCTCGATGTGCTGCGCTGTGCTGCTGGAACGCAGCTTTGGTACGATGTTGATGACATCACCAAGCCCAGTCCGTCACCTCCCGTCCGGTGGCACAACTTGCAAACGGAGCCGAGAATTTATTCGGCGAAACTTATTTCGCGTTATCCGATGAGTCGAATAATCGAACCGATACAAATCGGTAGATCCATGGATGACTTAAATCATCGGATGGCCAGCCAGCTCTGTCGACGCCCGCGTGTGCCCGCGTGCGTGTGTCCGCCAGCAGTGCTGGAAGAGGCGTGTATGCGTACACGTGAGTGTTGCCCAGCTGACGTATCAGGAAAGTAATGCGACCCCCTCCTTCCTGGTCCCTTGACGTCAGTGGCCCCTTCCTGCCTTGGCCGGGAGCCAGACGGCACACACAGAGAGCGAGAGAGAGGGACGACAGAGAAAATGCTTCGTGTAATAACTGTTTAGAGGCGTGCGCGAAGGGCACACGCTTCAACGGATGCGCGCACACACACACATGCGCTCGCTTGTGCGTGCTTGTGTGCGCGCACGGTCACTCGGCTCGCTTGCGCTCGGCACGCATCCGCCGCTCGCTCACTGTCCCACAGGTCACGGTGGGACGGGTTGGACCTCTGGGTTCCCGATGCACAACCATCAGCGTTGTAAAATCCGATGGATGAAACCCAGCGGCGTATGGTGCAGTTGTTGGCATGTGGGCCCTCTAGGGCTCTCCGTCTCTCTCGCTCTGTCTTCATAGCTCGGCGCTTTTGGGCTCCTCTGGCCCGTGAGTTCCCCAGTTGCAGTTGCACCGCCTGCACACTCGATAGCCTCATCGCCGATGAAAGCCTCGAGAACAATGAACAAAACCGTTGAGATTGTTGCCAAAAAATATTGCGTGAGTTTTACAACAAAGAACCCCCGTAGCTATGCAAACACAAAGAGAAACGGGACTTCTGATCAACCAGTTTATTTCTTTGGAGAAAATAAAATGTGTTGCGATGACTCTTTCTCGACCTAAACCACAATGAAATGGACATTAACCCGTGGAAACGTCTTGACGTAGCATTCCCCTTAATGCGAACACGCAGAAACATGCAAGTGTGTCCGCTAATGCTTTGGTCTGGCATCCACCGGCGTATACGCGCCAGTGGCAATTGATATCTACTAAAGCACGGCCTGGGTCACCCATAGGTTTGACTCACGCCACTTTAAATGAGTAACTGGTGTCGTGTGTTCGACGTCAGCCTTGCAGAGGGGGAGCGGGTAGGCGGAAGGGGTGGATGGTTGAGAATGTAATGGTTAAATTTCGATTTAAAGCTTTCGTGACTGCAGGGATTCATCTTCATGGTTCTTTCGGTAAAGTCACATAGAAGGGAAGTAATAATAATAATATAAAGCAATGGTTCTCTGTTGGCATTAACAGATGCTCGCTAACAGCAGTGAGAATCTGGGCAGGATTTGTACAAAACTCTGCCCTTCCCACTGTGGCCGACTTATTAGTGAGCTTCACGGCACTCACCAAAGCAGCTGCAACGTATCTGTGCCATGCACAGCCCCCTTTGTCAATCCACTGCTGGATGAGGGCCTCCCCACGTTGTACGGGTCACGGTGGGGAAGGGAGCGGGGTTATTTTTGGCCCTACTTCACCACGCTGGTCAGTGCGAGCTGATAAAGGAGGGGAGCTTAGGTACGGGAGAATAGAAGTACTGTGTGTGTTGGACTTCTTTCGCACCATACGTAGCCAACCGTGCTAATCGGTGGTACAGTTTGACATCTTACATGAATTACCCATCCTGGGGATAAGGATACCGAGAGGTATGAGGAAAGAATTGGCCGTACACAGACACATTTTTTGTTACCAGGAATTTCTAGTATCATTCGCTGCGGATGCCCCTGCTGCAAAATGCACAGTGATGTAGTTTACAGGAAAACTGTACCGGGCCTCTTGCAGCACTCTCTTAGTGTGAGAGTGAACAAAACACAATCCCCGTGTGGCCTTGCAAGAGCAGCAATTCCATTGGCCCAGACGCGCACAATGACGCAAACCGATCTTCCGTTGCGGCCAATCGCGTCGACTCGCACCCGTGGTGAATGTCCAAATTGGCGTCGCTCCCATCGATGCAGGCGAGGAGATGGCACCGAGTTATTCGAGATGAAATATAATTAGTTATTTCCACAGATGTATCAGACACGGTCACAAGACAGACAGTGGCTTGGGGTGGGGGCTCCCTCCTCTTACCCCCCCCCCCCCCACTGTCAATTCTTCTCGCGGGTCTAAATACCCTTCCAAAAAAAAAATGCACGTATAAATGGGCTCTCTCTTAACTTGTTGGAATTCGGATTAGTTTTTTGGGAAACCAATGATGGCCATTGCAGAAGAAAGTTAAATTGTACAAATTTATCACGGTGGTATACGGGCAATAAAATTTTACACTGACCACTAATAATCTGAAATGTGAGCATTTACGCCTCAGGCCTGGGTTGCAGTGATTCAGAGCCAGTCGATAAACAAAGCCGCCCTTTTATGGTGTCATAATAAGCCCGGTATACTAGATTCCAGAATAACCCGGAATGATGTGAACGCTTGTGATAATTCTGCTAAAGTGCAGAGTATGCTCGGCACGTCACCGCCCGTCATTATATTATTAGTGGATTAAAAAGGCGTTTGTAGTTTTGGCCATTATCACCATCATCATCACCATCATCTGCCTTTTTATTCATCGGTTCCAACTTACACGGCGCGGGTGGCAAATGACAGACCACAGGGGGGTTCGAAACCAGTTCCAAGGCAAGTTAGAATTTTGATTGATGGCGGCGTCAAGTCTCAGAGCTTACGTACGTAAGTGCCCCCCCCAACCCCCCACAAAGCCCCTCCCCCCCCCCGTGCCCCCCCCCCGCACCACCCACCCGGCCGTGCATCCGTCAAGCAAATGCGAGCGCCTTTAATGGGCGCGCGGCAGCGTTGCTCAAGCGAGCGCGCAATTAACAAACCCACTTCACCGCTTGCTTGGTCAGGTGCCCAGCCCTCGGCCGCCATCAAACAAACCAAAAAATTGTGGGGGTTTTTTTGTGTTATAAACTGCGGTTTTAAATAATCGCTGAATAATTATCGAAGTCACGTGGTGAATTACGCACGGAGATTACTGTGAGAAGCCAAGCGGCCCTATAAGGTTGGATTGTCCCAACTAATTTAGTATCACCGTATTCTCTTGATTTATAAGACCCCCAACTCCAGAAAGTCAAATGCACTGCCCAAAACATAGCGATACGGTTATAAGGTATATATCTGCTCACATACGCATGTACACGCGCACACAGCTACCGGATCGCCGAATAAGCGGCACCGTCGAATTTGTCCTTACGTCATGAAGTGAAAACAAAAGTGTCCCTTTGACTGCGGAGAATGCGGTATAACTTCGCTGAATGAAACCGAAGCTGAAATGAAGTGCGGACGCACAATTAATGTGCTGTCGTCACTCCGAGGCAGCTGGACATTTTTGGCGTGTTTCAATACCTCCTGTGCTGTCGACGATATCCCAGTCACCCTAGATCATTTACTCCTTGTTTTTATTATTATTATTTTTCTTACACACGGTGTTGTGCACCGACTGCGCCAACACACACACAAAAACCACGCACAAATTGACGGTCGTAATCCACGGTAATTCAAGAAGCTGATGCGCTTGATGATTTATAACAAAATTTGCCTCGGCGGTCTTCGGAGCACACTAATTGTCCATTCTTGCCTCCGCGCTACACCGCTGTGAGCCTCTACACCCGCTGCCGCCCCGCCGAGTGTAGAGTCTCCCTTTGTAACTTCGCTTGTTTCCATCTCCCCTTCCCTCCGCCACTCCCCCCTTGCCCTGCCTTGGCGACAGGTGATGGAGACAAAGAACATGCTCTATCTCGTCACGGAGTACGCGCGGAACGGCGAGATGTTCGGTGAGTTGCCCTCTCGGCCACTACTTGCCTCGCTTCCCCCCCAACCTCCTCCACGCACATGCCCAGCGTCTTGCCTGCGTGTGTAGGTCAACTCAGCCTTAAAATAATTAACCCCCCCTCCACCGGTGCGGTGCGTAAAAGATTGGCACCGGGAAGACGCGTGGACGGGCTTGGTGCTGGTCACCCACTCCCCGTCGTGTGTCGTGCTGGCCTTGAAAGGCGCTCGCGGACAGCACTTTCCCCAACGGTCTGTTGAAGGCTAACTGGGGGATCTTTGTCTCTGCATGTTGTTGAACTTCTTTCGCACAGGACGTAGCCAACCATTATGGTGTGCTAATCTCGTGGTTAGCACACCGTGCTATGGATCCGGCGACCCAAATTTGATTCCCGCTCACGACCAACATCAGTGACGAATAAACAAATTCGTCCAGGGCCTTGCCTGGGGACTATCCAGCATAAAATAGCTGGTGCAGTGTGTAAACCTCGATAAAGTGATGAACAACTTTGTGGGGAAAGTTAACAGTAGTTGTCCTACGGATAGACTCGTCCCCACCAAAGGAATGTAACATTTCCACCAATTGCCTCAGGGGAGATGAGCACAGGCCGCCCCCATGCTTATTTGGGCAAGCAATCGGAGCGCACCGCGCAGTGGTTGTGGAATGCGTGGGTGGACAACGGGCGTTCACAGCCCCCCCCCCCCCCCCCGTAAATTAACACGAGCCCATCGGAGGTGCCGCCATGGTGTGACGCATTCGCAGATAACATTGCCTTTCGATTTAAAGCTTTCGTGACTGCAGGGGTTCATCTTCTTGGTTCTTTCGGTAAAGTCACGTAGAATGGAAAAAAATAAAAAAACATAATAAAATATTTTATTATGTTTCATTTTATTATTTTTATTGTTTCCATTCTACGTGACTTTACCGAAAGAACCAAGAAGATGAACATTGCCTTTGCTTTTGATAAGAGCCTGACAGGGCCTTTGTGCGAGTGCGAGTGGCAGCGTGGGGCGCCGTTCAAACATTCGCGCGTGCAGGTTTGCGCTGCGGAACCGGAGAACTGAGCTCAACAGGGTCACGTGGTTATCTGCAGTTTTGCTGCGCCTCTCGTACTGTGATTGAATACAGCACGTTCATTTGTACAACTTCCAAATACCTACAACAAAAAATATCCGTCGATTCAGCCGCAGATGAGTAGTACCGAGTACGTTGTCTAAACTAAACTATTATTTTTTTGACTAGGTAAGGCCCACTGAGCTATATAGCTCTTTTTCAGACGCGACCTGGCCACAAATGATAGCTCAGCGATTCCCAGCCGTGGCTCACCTCACTGACGAATGATGCCAGGACCACTCAAATTCTTTATCTAACGGACAATGAAACATCACCGCCTGAGTTCGAGGAGTTTCCGTTGAGCGAACGAGCTGAAATAACCATCGCACTGACACTGTTCATACGCAGACACACGGGGGCTCTGACCGTAAACCTCGAGGCACCTTGAGCATCTTTGCACGCTCTGTGGCTTGGTGTGAGCACCTGTTGGCTGGTGCGCGCTTGCTCCTGTGCCTATGGGGCTCGCTCGCCCCCCCCCCCTCCTGCCCCCGTAGGAGCGAGTGCATGCGAACGGGAAGTTCAGCTTCATTAACTGAAGGGGTCAAACTTGTGAGGCTCCACAGGGGCGCTCTGTGTCTTGACCTTCGCTCTCTCTGCCAGCGAAGTGTCGCTTTAAAGCTATCTGTGTGTGTGTTGGTTCATGGGGAGCGGCGTTGCAGTGGTTAGCGCGCCGCGCTACGAATACGGCGACCCGAGTTCAGTCCCCGCTCACGGCCACCAACAACAGTGACGATTATCTGAACCTGTCCTGGGCCTCCCCGAGGTTGATTTGCCCTCAAATGAGTACCTGGATACGGTGTGTAAACATCGCTAAGAGGGAGACAAAAGTGACCGGGCGTGGTGCTGGCCTCCCAGCCTCTCGTGTACCGTGCCAGCCTCCATAGGTGCTCGCTAACAGCACTTGCCCCAACAGTCTGTTAAAGGCTATACGGTGGATCTTTGTATTTGTTGGTGAGTGAGTGAGTCAGCGAAGGAGGAGCAGTGGTGGAGTGTGATTTGTGCACCAGGCGACCGAAAATTTGCGAGTGACATATAAAACAGTCTTGGGGGAATCCCCTAGGTCGACTCAGCCTCAAACGAGTACCCTGAGCGATGTGTGAACATCAACCGGCAATGGTGCTGGCCGCAACCGATTCCTCGTTATGCCGTTTCCCACCTTGATGGGTGCTTGCTCAGCCCTCGCCCCAACAGTCTTTGGGGGACGATCGGGTGGGATCTTTGTCATTCTGCTGTCGGCGCGTGTGGGAGTCTGAGGCTCGCACCAATTGAGTTTCTCTAAATGTTAGTCGAGGCGTAGTCATCGGGCGCGCGGGGTGGTGGTTACGCTGCTGGGGCGTTGTGTGCAGAGCATCAGCCGGCGATGACGCGCGTGCGACGCACACAAGCTGGAGGGTGAATCACAGAGACGCGTCTCAACTTGATTGGCGATGTCTCATTGCCCCTTGCTTTCTACGTTTTTGTAAGGTATGCGCAGTATTTGCGTATTTATCTGCGTATGCATCATGGGTGAAGATTGCTTAAGAAAAGAACAAATATATTTTTTCAGATTTCTTTTTTGCTGTTGAAAGAAACACTTTACAATCGTTGCCCGGGCTTTAAGGTGTTCGGATCATTTGCTTGATGTAATCGTTTTAAGTATCGTCACGCTAACAGGAGTAACGTCACCTGATGCCATGTGACACCACTTGTGGTGGGAAAAGCACGGACGTAGCATCGTGCAGTTGACATCACAAGAAGTGATGTCATGTCAGATGAATCCCTTTTGTCATATCTAGGCCGGATTTTCAGAATTTTTGGAATTCATCCCAGAGTCGGAAATACGTGCTGAGTATGTGTGTGTGTGCTTATCCAGTGACGCTGTACATAGGTGTATTCGTAGTTTTCTCGAGTTACAAAAACGTCTATTGGTCACTGCTGGAAACAGTTCTCCGCGAATTTGCAACGACAAATCGTTCAAAAAAGTTCTGGCCGCCCCCAAATCCACGCCGCGTGCGCCTCAACTCGCATCCGAGCGACGTACGCACATGCGACCGAGGGGTTCTCGAACGCTGTCGCTCATCTCCACACTCCATCTCCTTTCCCCACCTTCGCACAACTTTTCCTATTAAATTGCTAATAAGACATTGACATGTCACGTGCCCCCCCCCCTCCCCCCCTATTGATTGTTAAATGATAAAATAATTAACCTTGGCGCGCATTCGCAACTGCGCACTCGCGTTTGGTGAGTCACGAGGAGCCGAGTTGGAACGGATTCCTCCTCGTCACACGCTCAGGAACAATCGCGCGAGATCACAGAGGGTCAGGCCGAGCGTGGTATGGAGCCACGCGGCTTTGCCACGCAGCGACCCGGCAACGCAGGGTTGGTGGATTGCGCACAGAGCTGGCCCATCGTGCACGTGAGACCAGAGGACAGCGGTGCGATGCCTGCAGGAGGCAGTGTGGCAAGCAGGTTGCAGACTCTCTGTCTGCGCCGGGATTCACTGTTTTGGCGAGAAAAAAAAAATCACGTGGGCCGACAAGGAGTTTGGCCAAACGTGTCAAGTAAGACGAGATGGTGTAACCATCGCTGCTCAAAACTATTTTTTATTTTTATAGAGTGCAATTGTGAACAACAGACAAATCAGACATTAGCACATCAAATCGGCATAATCATTGAATCACTGCAGCTCAAAGACTCTTGAGACTCGGCGAAGGTTTTCCGTAATAGTAAATGATTTAGGAAACAAAACGAAAAAAAAAACACAGATTGGGACTGGATACCTGCAATTGAAGCAAGACGTCCCGTGAAGAGTACAGCGCTCGTTCTCGAACGAGACGCCGCTGTGCCCTCAAAACTGATCGCGCGATCATCTGTGGAGGGGGCGGTGGGAGAAGGGTACATGGGAGGCTGCTGTGGATTGAATTGGCGGGGGGGGGGGGGGGGGTGGCCGCAGTGCTGATGGCATTGTTATACCCCCCCAAAAATTCAGAAATAAATCCAGAACGGAACGTACAGCCCTTGATAAGAGCGTGCGACGAACCTGCGACCGACGTCACACTTCAAGTGAACCCGTGGTACGTGCGAATGTGCGGGGGGCGAGCTAATTGCATGGTGCGCGTCCGTGTGTATTATTATATCGCGTCGTTTGTAAGGCAAGTAAGAGGGAGTGAAATCGGTGGCATTGGGAGTTGGGTTTTTTTATCTTTTGCCGGGCAAACGAAAAATCGGCGAGAATCGGAAGGCGCAATGGTAATTGTTAGATACGTGTTTAGAAAAAAAAATCTGAATTGTGCGCTGTAACATTGTAAACACAGTACGGTCGTGGGTTTCGTGAGTAGGGAAATATGTGAGCGTGTATCGCTTAAAATGTCGAGTTGTTTAAAACGACGAATGCAAATTGTGAAATGCAGCACTAAAGGGTATTGCAGCAGACTATGAAGGCATCGTAAAATAAAATGTACTCGCATTTTTATTTGTGGAAGAAAATTAAAACTTGTATGCTCAGTGTGCATTAAATATACGAGGAAAAAGACGAACATCCTGCTGTAGCCACCACACACTGTTGAGAACGAGTGATGTGAGCGAGCACTGATGAAGGCTGGCACGGCGCACAAACGTGGGAAGTAGGACATCACCACGCATGGTCGCCTTTGTCTCCCCAGTGCTGACGTTTACTTACACACCACACCAAGTACTCATTTGAGGCTGAGTCTACCTAGGACCGGTTCAGATAATCGTCACTGATGATGGTGGCCGTGGGCGGGCATCGAACTCGGGTCACCGGGTTCGTAGCGCAGCGCGTTAACCATTGCGCTTCCTTCACAAAGACGAAGATCCCCCGTGTAGCCTTAACAGACTGTTGGGACAAGTGCTGTTAGCGAGCACCTATGAAGGCCGGAACGGCACACGAGGGGGTGGGTGGCCAGCACCACGCCCGACCACCTTTGTCTCCCGAGTGGCGATGTTTACACACCGCACCAGGTACTAATTTGAGGCTGATTCGACCTAGGGGAGGCTCAAGACCGGTTCAGATAATCGTCACTGATCTTGGACGGTGAGCGGGAATCGAACTCGGGTGCCCGGATCCGTAGCGCAGCGCAACTCTAACCGCTCCGCCGTGTGCGTGCGCACACACACGCACACACGCGGCCCGGCTGTACGTCCGTGGCGCGCGCGCACAAACGCAAGCGCCGCCGCGCGGGGGGCCGTGTTTGATGAGCACCCGTGACGTGTGGCCAAGGGGAGGGGCCCTCGCAGGCCCCCCACTGGCCCCAACTGGCCCCAACTGGCCCCACTGGCCCCAACCCCAACTGGCCCCAACTGGCCCCCAACTGGTCCCCACTGGTCCCAACTGGCCCCAACTGGCCCCACTGGCCCCAACCCCAACTGGCCCCAACTGGCCCCCAACTGGTCCCCACTGGTCCCAACTGGCCCCAACTGGCCCCAACTGGGCCACCACGGCCGTGACGTCCCACTCCCTGGCTCCCACCGCGAGCATTGGCGGTATTTGCCGGGCGTTTTCCGGGCGTGACCTTCATCGAAGGGGGGGGCAGGGCGGCCCCCCTTGACGCGGCCGGCGTGCCGTGCTCACACCCCGGCCATAAGCTTTTGCCGTTCCCCCCCCCCCCCCGTCGAGTTTGCATTTCAAGCGGTGGCTCCTGTGAAACCCCCCCCCCACCCGCCGTGCCCCCATCACCCACCTGGGGTCCTCAAACAACAACAAAAAGCGGGCTTGGCCTTTAAGGTGTTTTTTTTTCGTTTTACATCCTCCGCTTTTGTTTTGTTTTTATTAAATTGCTGCGCGTGGTCGTACCGCGCCGTTGGCAAGGCACTGTCGGTTGCGTGACGCCGCTGAGCCGGTTCTCTTCAAGAAGTTTTACAGACCACGGACGACGCATTTGAGTGCCTAGATCACTCACAAGGACATCTCTTCTCATGGCCGCTCTACATAAGCCGTGCGAATCGCACCTCCGATTAGCACGGTTGGCTACGTACGGTGCGAAAGAAGTTCAAGTGCGCGTACGTACATACATGCAAGGCAGATGAAAGAAGAAGACGCTTCGTCTCAATCCAATGCTGTACCGGATGAAGGCCTCCCCTCAACGTGAGGACGTTTGATCGTACTTCACCGTGCTGGCCAGCGATGGTTGATGAAAGATCAGTGGCTGGGCGGGCTACGACCACTTCAGATATCACATGCCGATGTTAGCCGTGACCAGGAGTAGCGCGGTGCGTCAACCACCGCACCACCGTTCCCACTCTGTTCGACGAAGCGAAATTCAAATAAAAGACATTGCCCGTGTGGCACAGACGACGCAAGAAACACAGCCTTAGCTCAGGAGTTTGTGGTGTCTCTCTCCCCAAGGTCGCGTGGATTTTTTTCTCCGGGTCCTCCCGTTTTTTCCCTCCACATTTAGAATCGACATCACGCATTTGGAGTATTTGGCCGCTATACATTTCCACGCGATAAGCCACTTCGTTGCGCTGTCATTTGTGAAAGCCAGGCCCGCTTGTGAAAAACATCTATATAGCTCAGTGGGTCTTGCCTAGTAAAATAAAAAATAGTTTGGTGTTTTGCATTTCGCCCTATAAGGGAAAGCGTGTGGGAGTTTTGCGGGAAGCCGTTGTTTTAAAAGATCCGCTCATCCACATTTTACGGGGGATCAGGTGACACTTTGTTCAAATCGCGGTGAAACACAACGCCATTATCCTCCGGGTGACACGAAACCCCAAACTGGAGGAGGGTGTCTTTACCGCACGGACAGATGCGTCTTTACAAACCGTGGCTGTGTGCGTTAGCCACCTGGCCGCACGAGCACCTGCTTTGGGTTTGTACCTCAGGACCCATTGCCTCCCCAACAACAACAGCCGCCATTCGCCACTCAGCGGCGGTGACGTCACCGCGGCGCTCGTGCCAGGCTGCGTGCACGTTGAGGCCAGGTGAAGTGTCGAACACCCGCTGGGCAGGAGGCCACGGGACAGACCCAGCAGGTGCCACGGGTCAACTAACCGACCATGCCAACTCGCTGTGTTTTAGCGACCCGGCTATGTCAATATGAAATATAACGACTCTGAATTAACGTCGCGCCCGTAACATCACAACACGTGTCTCAGAGCGAAGCTTTTTTTTTTGCCTGGGGGGGGGGGGGGTGTTCCCCCCTTGACGGTGGCAGCTGTCCCTGTGCGGAACAGGGTGAACACTGTTACTGACCAACCTCGTTACAATGCAGGGACACACACACGCGTCGTGTTACCTGTGTATGCATTGCCTGTGTTCATTATTTAGCGGCTCGTTGTTCTGTAGGTGTCCTGCTGTTAGCGACCGAATTCGGTGTGAGGCTTTCCAGTGCCTCGACATTGGCTCATTCATCTAACGTTGGACTTTGCACACTCATCAAGGTGGCCTGCTGTATGATGCGCATATCCGGAACTTACAGGCAAAGGATGGAAGTGCATTATTAAGAGGCTCGCTCTCCTCGAGTGCTGAATTATTATTTAATTCTATGATTTATTGCAGTGATACCTCGGGGCGATTTCACGACGCATGTGTTTTTTTACATATTTGCTGACAATATGATTTACGCGTTTGATATTCCCTTCACTCTCATAGCATAGAATTGTTTCCGCTTTGAAGATCTGCCTTGAAAAAAATAAAGAGGAAAGTAGAAAATTGTTTTGCCGAGAGAAAAAGAACACCTCAATATTTTGATCAGCTGACCCTTTTATGCAAATTATGTTTTCATGCGTGTACACGTACACACTAAGTGCAGATACACGCATAAGCGTATATACTACTAATGATATTATTATTGTTTTACCAGGTAAGGTCCGCTGAGGTATATAGTTATTTTCAGAAGTGATCTGGCCACAAATGATAGCTCAACGAAGTGGCTTATTACGTGGAAGAGTATAGCAGCCAAATAATCTAAACGCACGTTTCTAAACTCTATGTTTCTATAGAAAGAGCTCCCAGGGTGCACTGATTTGCACCCATGCTTGTCTACTCGGCTGGTATATTACAATGTGGTGCAATGTTTATTATATTACAATGTCTAGCACATTGCACTACGAACCCGGCGACCCGAGTTACATTTTTCAAACAACAACACGAAATGTGTCAAACGTGTCGAAAATCACTCGGCCTTTGACCGTTGGACCGACATCTGCAACGAGTGAAAATCTGAACCACGTTTACCAAACCCTCGCCGACCAACGCCAGAGAGTGGCATATCTGTCAACCCAAACGGTTTACCCCGTATTCTTGTACAGGGATATTGAGTTTTCAGGGTCATATGGCCTACAGCCGTTTCAGCACGGGCAAAAAAAAAATCTTTGTCTAGATGTTTGTGTTTCTCTCTTGTGATGGGACTTTGTGGGATGAACTTTGAGACTTACAAGGGCACGGGGTGACCAATAAGGTCTGAATTGGTCTGTGATGAGGTTGAGAGAGGCACTAACAGGTATGGAGCCCTCATCCAGCAGTGAATTGTCAAATGGGCCACTAGGAAGTTCACCGGACGTGCCATGGCTCGCCGACGACTCGACTCTTGCAAGCCGTGCGTTTTGCACCCCACGGGCCGCCCCCCCCTCCTCTCCGCCGCGCCACCGCCATCGTCGCTGGCTCGCTCGCCTCCAAACTCGGTCGCGTCACGACGCTCGCGCACCTTTCAGCGCGTTCTCAAAAGCCCGGTCGGACCGGTCAACCGTGCGCGAAGTTCTTTATTTTTAATTCCAACCTCCACCAAACCCCCCCCTCCTCCCTCCCTCCCCCTCCGAGCCCTGCGGCGGCTCCACTCATCACGCTAGAAGCGCGCCGCAGTGGAAAAGTGACGTCTGCGCGCGCGGCACAAAGGGGCCCTGATGGAAAGGCGCGCGGCGGCACGGCGAGGCTGCAGATGATTGCGCGCGCGTTAGGAGCGCGGACAAACTGGAGGAGCCACGTTCTAATGACGTCAGTCCCCCCCTGGTTCCCATGGCAACGGCGGTTGCCGTGACAACGTCCTCTTTAGGTGGTGATGATACGGTTGCCTGGCGACCGCTGACACAATGCGTGTTTCGCACTTTGCACGAAGTGAAACAGAATTCGGCGTTATTCCCCAAAGTCTGCGCAGAACGGCCGCAACTTGAAATGCGTTTTTATGCTTTTCATTGTGTGCAGGGCAGCCGATTTAAATTGTTATTTCCTACATTGTTTGGCGCATTCAAAAAAAAATTTCCTTTTCGGCCGATTTCATTTTTTAATGCCGGTGCCTTTAAAAGGGCCATCATTTCGAATTCGATTTGAGACCAAAAGTTTAGCATTGCAGGTGTGCATTTTAAAAAATACGCATTTTATATGAAACAAAAAAATCCAAAATCTCACAGACTGCCAAATGTTACCATCCCATTCGACATCATTCCCACCTTGTTTAGCGGTTAAAATTAAGCACCGCCTAAAAAACTTTGCATTTCACAGCGCAACGCAATGGGCTCTCGTGTGTGCGTATTTCAATTTGCAACTCTATCCCTGGCATCCACATGTGTTCTTGGCCGGGTGATCTTTGCCGGCTTGAAGCTGGGCCAGCTTTCCTTGGCGGCGGGGGGGGGGGGGTTCCCGAGTTCAAATCCCGACTCTCAGTGTCGGTAACAAACAGAGTTCAGATCCCCTGGTCCCTTTGCTTTGAGGTCTGGGCAAGGCCTTCTACGTAAAAAAGAAAAACACATGTCGCGGCGGGCGTATTGTTGCGTTGCTGGCGCCGCTCCGCTTTGTAAAACGGTTAAAACGAAACAAACGAGGGAGCTCGCAAAATCGCCAATTTGGGTTGCGTAAAAATGCCACGGCGTTTTTACATGAAAAGGAAATTCGACTTTAATGCTGCTTTTGATTTTTGGAAAGAGAGTCGTCGTGCCTGGCGCGAGAGTGAGGGAGGGAGGGAGAGAGGGTGGCCATCCGCTAAAGGCTCGAGTCTTTTTACGACTGCTACTACTTTTTTTTCATTTCACCAGGTAAGGCCCCCTGAGCTACGTAGGTCTTTTTCAGAAGCGACCTGGCCACACATGATAGTTCAACAAAGTGGCTTATCATGTGTAAATGTATACTCTATTAACGCACGTTGATTCTAAATGTGGAGGGAAAAACCGGAGGACCCGGACAAAAATCCACGCGACCACGGGGAGAGAGAGAGAGACATGCAAACTCCAACTCTCCAGTCGGAGTCAGGGTCGAGATCGAACCCACAACCTCATGCACGCCAGGCGAGGCAGTTAATGTCTCTCCACGGCGGCGAGATTGCCGCTCTCCTCTCTCTCCGCTGCACCGCTGCAAACGCGCCAACGAGAACTCTTCACCCCGGCTCACCAAGGTGCACATGGCAGACGGGGGTACGTTGTCTGTAGAGATGTTGCAACTGCGACGGGGTGACGCGAGGCCAGGGCGCTATAAACGTTTCACCTTTTGTGCCGTTACAGCGTTCAGAGCGACCGCACGCGTTCGCGCTGCCCCTGCTGGCTTGCCCGTGCGCGTTTGTGCGCGCGCATAGCGACTTCTGCGCATTTGTTAATGCTTTATAATTTAATGAGTTTTGTGGTGATTGATTTTAATTCACGTCTGTTTTAAGACATTTACATTCACTTGCTACAAAGGCGCAATTCAGAACATTCGATAAAAATTCGCTGCGTAATCGCGAACACGTTTCAAAACTAAATGCTCTCTGCGCTCACGTCACATCTTATGGAATAAGATAATTAATGACGTATGAATTGCGTTTGATACATACACGTAAGGTGTGAATGAATCGATGCATGCATGAATTAAAAATGGCTTAGCTTCAGAGATCAGAAGAGATCGGGCACACTCAGGGTGAATTAGAATTAGTCTTTTTTGTTTTATCAAGGTCATTTATGAACTGTATGGAGCGGTGATGCAACGATTAGCATGCTGCCCAGTGAACCTGGTAACCGGAGTTTGATTTCGGACTGTAATTAACATTGGTGGCAAGCGTTATCGGATCCTTGTCGCCTTGACCAACCCGCGCTGACCAGCAAGGTGAAGCAGGGTCACGTGGCTCCCCATGGTCCGCACGGTGTGGGTGTCATGTGACCCCCACGACCCTCACAGGCGGCGTGGGGGTCATGTAACCCTGCCTGAGCGCGTGGGGAGGTCTTTGTAAAGTGTAGCGGGTCAACGAGGCCTGTGGATGGCACACACACGTTCGCATCAAGATGAGAATGGAATTACAAAGCGCCGAAGCGTGCGTGCGTGCACGTGTAATAACTGCCCCGTAGAGGCTCCAATTGTGGAGGCATTTAGCAGGACGATGTCAAAAAACCGGCGTCTCTCTCCGATGTGTTTCCATGTTGTTTCGTGCGATGTCCAATGGTTCGCCCCAGGTGCTGGAGGCTTCTTCGGCAACTCAAGTAGATCGCTCACGTTTAATTCGGTTTCTTCAACAAGCTCCCGGGCACGCGGCGTGAAAAAGTTGGGGCATCTTTCCAGCCGATCAACAATCGGTGGCCAACCCACGTGTATACAACGTCGGGGAGTTTTACAGCGCGACCGCAAAAAAACAACTCTTCACAGACATTGCTCATCCTTCCACCCCACCCTTCCCCGCTTCTCTCGGCAGACTACCTGTCGAGCCACGGGCGACTGAGCGAGCGCGAGGCGCGACGGAAGTTCTCGCAGATCTTGGCGGCCGTGGGGTTCTGCCACCAGCACGGCGTGGTGCACCGCGACCTCAAAGCCGAGAATCTGCTTCTGGACTCCAACATGAACGTCAAACTTGCCGGTAAGAGAGCTCGCATGGGGGCTCGCGTCCGTTGTCGGGTTTATTTTTTCTTTACCGGTGCCCCGTCGGTCATAAAAAATATGTTATACCAGGTAAGGCCCCACTGAACTATTTCGTTGTTTTTTTAGAAGTGACCTGACTATCACAAATGGGAGCTCAACGACGTGTATTTTCATCGCGTGGAAATTTATAGCAGCTAAATAACTATAAACGCTGTGATTCTAAATGTGGAGGAAAAAATCGGGAGGACCTGGAGAAAAATCCACGGGACCACAGGGAGAATTTGCAAACTCCAAATATCAGGGTCGGGATCGAACCCACGAATCTCCTGCGTACCAGGAGAGGAAGTTAACATCTCGCCACCGCGGCAAGTAAAGCCGCCACGCTCTCAACTGCAACGACTTGTGTAAGCGGTGGAAATGGCACATTCCTACGGCAAAGCACAGTCGGATTGCTGCAACTTGTTGACTTTTTCAGTGATGCAACTCGCAAGGAGGGGGGTGCCCATTACAGAGTAGAGATGATGACGTTAATTGTGATGATTGCAATGATAAATATCGTGATGATGTATCTTGATGATACAGATAATGGTGTTGATGACGGTTATTAGCGATGAGGGTTATAATGGTGATCGGGGTGATGATGATGTGATTGTGATTATGCACTCAGCAAAATTCTGGCTGAGATTTCAACTAGCGCCCTTGAATTTCATGGGCCCACGACTACCTCTCCAACTGAGCTGCAATGAACACGCTCGCATAATCTAAGCACATCGATGCATACCCCGTACTCGAGACAGAACCACGTGTTATGTACACACACAATATATCACAATAGCATACGACAGTATTCCATCCGCTGCTTTATTTATCATATATTTTGACAATTTTTCCCCGAACTTTCGCAGACTCTCCGTTGGAGCACATTAAGACCCATGTCCGAATGCCCGTAAATATTTATGCGTTGACACGCGTCCAGTATTTTACGGAACCTTCCGAGTTTCCATTGCGTCCGCGCGCGCGCTGGGCTAACAGCGGCGGCGGGAGGGGTTATAATTACCGCGCGGGTGTCGTGTGCAGTAGACACGGCACGTATTCGATGGCAATTGAGAAGTTGATTGCGAATGAATGAGAGGGGTTTGTAAACGAACAGAGCAGGTGGTAACTGCGTTGCTAGGGGACACATCGGGTAACCTGGCCGTGGCTATATCTTTTTATCCAGATTGTAATCCTATCGCCGAGACCAATGCGTAGCATGGTACATTGACCTTTAACCGTCAGCAGTTTGTTTCTCTCCTTCCAAAACATTGGAAGAACACTGTGTTAGAGGGAGCTTGGGGGGGGAGGGGGAGTGGTGGGTAACAGCATGAAAATGTTTAACTTAAGTACGTTCCGTTCGTACGTACGGTGCGAAAGAAGTTCAACATACAGCACTTTGTTTTCGTCAACGCGGCGGTGCTGCTGCTACGTTGGCGGTGGCGCAGGGGAAAATAAAACCTCAACGGCGCATTCATCGACAACACTATGACCTAAATAAAATATAGATACTCATCGCTATGCAGGACCATTGGGCGAAACATCGTTTTGTTTATTGTATGTATTTTTTAAAAGCATGAGTTTTTGTTGTTTAACAAATCGATTGAGACATTTCTTTCCCCCGTAAAGGTTAACATCAGCCGCGTTGCAAATTTGTCTCAAGCACCATTTGAACAAAAAAAACGAACACGTTAAATGGCCGTTGTTGTTTTCTGCATTGCTCGTTCTCTCTCTCTTGGCGGAGGTAACGCACGCGCATTACGTTGATGTATTACGTTCAGATGGAAGTGTGGAGGAGTGCGCCCGGGGGGGGGGGGGGGTATGGGAGGATACAAAGCTGGTGCACCATCAGCGCGATCATTCCACGCCGGCCAAACCGAGTGGCGCCTCCAACTAGCGCGGTTGGCTACGTAGGGTGCAAAAGAAGTTCAGCGCACGTACAATTGTCGTGGTTCGAGAACTCTCCAGCCACGTCTGGCCCATTCGCAGCATTGCCTCAACCACTAAACTCTGCGACCTTTGCCACTGCCCTAGAATGATCCCTTAACCCCCAAGCCTGACTCATTTATTCATTGGAACCGTACCCCGCAGGCGCATCGCGTCGGCCGCGTGTTTCTCCATTATTAACGACTTTTACTTTGTGTCTTTCCGCGAAGGCGATTAGTTATGGAAATGCTTGGCTCCTGCCACGGTAATGTGGAATGTCTCGCCGCTGGCTCGGTGCTATGAGGGTCAAATGAGCAGCAACCCTTTTACCACCCGGACGGTCGTTCACGCTTTCCACCTTTTTTCCTCGAGCGTTTTACCTCTGCAAACAAAACGCAACGGTTATAGGAAAGGCGCTTGCTCCTCCCTCCCCCATTCGTGGTCAATCCTGGGCTGTCTTCCTCACCTGACCCCGACTCGCCAACATCGGCTGTGTTTTTGCATACTGAGTAAATGTGGTGGTGGTGGTGGGGAGCGGTAGTGTAGCGGTTAGTGCGCTGCGCTACGAACCCAGCTTCCCGGGTTCGATTCCCGCTCACTGCCAACACCAGTGACGATTGTCGGAACCGGGCCTCCCCTAGGTCGACTCAGCCTCAATTGATTGCCTGGTGCGGTGTGTAAAAATCATCGCCACCGGGAAGACAAAGGCGGTCGGAGCGTGGTGCTGGCCGGCCACCAACCCCTTCGTGGCACCGTGCCGGCCTTCACGGGTGCTCGCTAACAGCACTTTCCCCAACAGCCTCCGGGAGGGAGACTTTACTGGGTTTCTTTGTCTGCGATGAGGTCAAGTTTTGGGGTTGGACTCATAGAAGCCACGTGGGTACAGCCGAGTTCAGTCGGCGGTCATACGAACGGCCGGGTAGGAGGAGGGGGGTGCAAGTCTTCGCTCACATGTTGTTGTTGTTTAGCTGCACGGCATTGAGTAAGCGGGTTATACAGCGGCTGGGGCGAGGAGGACAAGGAGGATTTCTCGAATTGCCTCCTTTTGTGACGCCGTTAAAGCGGCTCGCGGTGCCCCTTTCTGATTCCCACTTTCGTTGCGCCGCTCGGTGTGCGTACGTCCGCACGCGTGCACGTTGAACTTCATTTGCCCCCCCGTACGTAGCCAACCTTTGCTCATGGGATGTGTATGAGAGCCAGGGTATGGTCGTTCCCCTAGACAGGGTGTTTCCACTTAATGTGTTATTAAAGTCAGGTTTTATTTCAAACAGAGGGGTGGGGTCACATGACATCTGGACCACCACCCTGCGCAAGCATCTTGTAAACAACAACAACGGCTCATGTGGTTTCGTGTGTGACGTGCATTGGAGGGCAGGTGATTATAAGTACGTGGATGCACGTGGAACTTCTTTCGCGCCGTACGTAGCCAATTTGACACGGCCCCGCCAATGTGACGGATTGTCACAATTTGAGGTTTGTGATTCGAGTCGAGAATCGATTTTTTTGTATTGTATTGTTGCACACGTGGTTTACGACCTTGTTTGTATTAAATTTCGATTTAAAGCTTTCGTGACTGCAGGGATTCATCTTCTTGGTTCTTTCGGTAAAGTCACGTAGAAGGGAAATAATAAAAGAATAAAAATAAAACATAATAATTAAAAACAAAACAGCAAAATAATTTTTTTATGTTTTATTTTTATTATTTTATTATTTCCCTTCTACGTGACTTTACCGAAAGAACCAAGAAGACTCGTTTGTATTGTTTCCCACGTGGTTCACGATCTCGTTTGTGCGCTCGTTGGCCCACCTCGTTAGTTTATTTATTTGACATCATTTACTGCTCGTCTTGCCGAGTCAGGCAGCCAGCCACCTCGTCAGCAGCGTGGAGGTCTAGTCCCCAGTTCTCGATGTTATTATTACGACGAAGACTAATAACAATGATTATTTATGAATTGTCTAACGGAGCACTGCAGTGTTTCATTCACAGCCTTTGCGCGTCATGCAAAAGCCGTCAGCAGTTGCTGAACAACTGCATTGTGGTTCCCTTGTGGTGGGTTACCATCAATATACACGTGACCTACTGACAGCAGCAGTGATACCAGGGATGGATAACTGTGGAACGGATTTCCCCTTAGTCGGGCCTCTACAAATGTTTTTAGTTTTTTTTTCTTCCTGTAAACCTCCTGCTGTAGTGACGTTGGTGCGTGATTTGCATACGTTTAGCAAAAACAATCGTAAATAATGGATTGTCACTCGCCCATTCTGCATGTCGAGAGGAAAACTCAATCTTACAGTCGGCAAATCGATGCCTGATCGATGTCATTGCATGTGCGCGGTACGGCATCGCTTTTATGTTTTCCTGAGTAAGCTCAGCTAACCGTATTAACAAAAACGCCAGATCGTGATTTATTTGAAGGCTTTCAAACAATAGGTGGGGATTGAAACGTGAATGAAAGAATTCGAACAAAGCCCAAAGTGGGCCACTGAAAGATGCAATGGTTGTGTTGTGTTTACGACTAAAGTCGTTCTTGTGTGTTTTGTAACGTTACGTAAACGTTGGTTAGTACTCTCTCCAATCGAGAATTTACATCTAACTCTGCATGAGATTACAATATGTGTGTATATATACACACACGCACTGTGCTGTTGTAGTGTTTATCTTTGTAACCTCATACTCAAACAGAACCGTTGCCATAGATCAAACAGAATGTTCGTTTAATGTTACATTATTCCCCGGATTATGAGATGCTTCTGGAGGAAATGAAGACGTGCCTGGTGTCAACGGAGTTTTTAAAAGTTATATCATTCTGGTCAACATCAACGTCAAATCTGGTCACGCGCACACACACACGCGCGCGTGCAGGATTTTAAGACGCGCCCTTAGTTGGAAGAGCTGTGAATGTACAAAGATAAAGATCCACCGTGTAGCCTTCACAGACTGTTGGGGCAAGTGCTGTTAGCGAGGCCCTACGAATACCGGCACAGCACACGGGAGGGTGGGTTGCCAGCAGAGGTGGGACAAAGTCATTGTTATGCAAG